CAGAGAATAAAAAGAGCTCTCATTGTCGTGTGCGAGCATAAAGCAAGTGTAGATTGGAGTATCATTCGCTGACGCGACAGCTTTATACGTATATATTATCCTCTCTTCCTTCTAATCTAGTAAGACACAGCGAATCGCTAATCCTAGATTAGTTAACCCCGACTATCGGTATGCCCGAGGCCCTATTACATCAATGTCGGTTAGCATTAACCGCGGTTTAAAGCTGCCCTCTCTCTATCAGCATTATACCTGGATTCGCGTCTTAGAAAGAGACAGAGAGAGAGAAAGAGAGGGAGGATAATCGTTAAGTAAAATCAGCTGCTCCAGAAATTGTGGACAATTCCAGATCTTCAACAGTCGAGATCTGCGACAGTCTGCGACAGCACAACGGTGGGAACAAGGACAATTTTTTCATTATTATTATTTCTAAGTCTTCTTTTTTAAGAGGCACTAAAAGCGCTTCATGAAACTGCTGGCGTTTTATGCCCCGCTTCTCACGCGGTTTTAGCCTTCATCGAACGATGCGACGGTGAGTTCCGATTAGGGCGCGAAGGACGATAGAGGATTTGATTCGATATAACGGTCGATGTAAAGTTCCAGTAAAACTCTTCCGCTGGAAAAATGCCAACGGCCTTTCGTCCCCTTTCTCACGTTCTCTCTCTTTAATTCTTGAAAGGTATATATTTGCTGTTTAAGAAAATCAATTCTTTCATTCAAGTGATTCCATTTGCGATAATCCTAAGGATGTTAGCAAACATCTTACTCATTTCATAACACCATTTTCTGATGTTTAGAAAGTGTCTACATGTTCCTTTTATTAATCTTTCAGATTCAACAGCGCGACGTGCAAAAATTGCGCGACCCTTTCATGGTCAATCGTGTTGTGGACTCATTCGACTCGATCGCGGGTATTTTAAATTACTTTGCTCGTTAAATTACTTTCGCGGACAAACATCTCTCTCCATTCATAATGCATGAAGCATAATAATGGATGTGCAATAAAGTCGCGTAATCTCGAATTTACGTGAGCCCACGCGCGCGCTTCGTATCCGGCCTCGTGTATAAAAATCGGTCGTTAAAAATTACAATCGCGGCGGTGAAGAACTTCGCTTTTAGCGGCGACGCTGATTCAGTTACGTTTTCATTTGGCTCGCGCTCAAAAGTGCCTATTTCGTTGCGAATCAGCAGTTTCTCACCTAGTTTCGCGTCCCATCGCGCGCGCTCCTTTGTTCCATCGAACGGATCGTGAAAATACCAGCGGCAACAATTCTCCCTCCGCATAACGTATATATTTCCTCTACCTCCTCCTCTTCTAACCCGTCCTCTCTGTCGTAGCTTCCCCCTCGGTTTCAGCGCGGTTTACGATCGTTATGGAACTTCGCCTCTTTGATTTTTTCCTTTTGTTACGTAAGAGGATTACCGCGCCGTCCAATTATTTCGCGTTTCGCGTCGTGACGACGACAACGACGACGTCGACGACGATGACGAGAACGACGACGATGACACACGCCGCACAGCAAATCGCATTAAAACGAACTCGCAAATTGCTCGAGAGGGCATCCAACATTCGCGACGAATGTGGCAACGGTTTTCGCGAATGAATAAATCGTGCGCACAACTTGTACCTCGATTAAATATATATATATATACACACACACACACACACACACATACACACACACACATATATACACATCGCAACGAATACACGTGTATACGTTATATTCTCGGACAAATATATAGCGCGGGAATCGCGGCTTACTGAACTCATATTGCAAGCTTATATCGCACTTGAAATAATTTGTTTTTATTCTTTTTCTCTCTCTTTCTCTCTCTCTCTTTCTCTCTCTCTCTCTCTCTCTCCGTTCCTCCATTCCCCCCTTCTTCTCACTCTGTCGCTTGCGCGCGTGGAAAAGGAAAAAGTTGGAAAATGCCAGTCGGTTGCGCCAATGCGCGTTGTTGGCGATTTAAAGCGCGATCTCGCCATTCCATCGCGTGTGCGCCTGCGGCGCGTTCCAGTTTCCGATGCTGCTGGCAGCTTTTTTACTGGGATATCGTTTAATTGCGATAAAAACGATCCGTGGAATTTTCATATATTCCATTTGCAAAAAGGCGAAATATTTCGGGAATTCCGCTTGCGAATTTGATGAGGGATGTTCCGATTTATCAAATGCACGTGTGAAAAGGAATTTGATTTTGACTGACTGTTGAGTAACAAAATATCCTACTTATTGCACATTAAAACGACTGTCAATTAACATCAAAGGAACAACAATTTCGATGTAGTGTCACCTTAAATATATTTTTCAGCGATTATTTAGATGCAAAATATTTGTCTTGAAGAGAGAATCAACAATTCACTGTGAAAGAGAACTACAGTTTTTCAACATCTATTTTTATTTGGAGATTTTATTTAAAGATTCGAGATCGGAATGTGGTTATTTATATTTCTCCTCATTTATAAAAAAATAGAATATCAGAATAAAGAAGATATTTTAAAAAATGTATTTTGAGTTCTAATTATTTAGAAGATTTATTTGGTTGGAACCGTTTTATTCCGTAATACTTCGGAAATTATCGACTATTTTTTTCGAGAGAAATGATTCGCTAAATTCGCCAATTTTCTTTACACGTGTCTCTCATCAACTAATCCATGCCTGAGTTTCGCTATAAATTTTCAAATAACTTTAGAATAACGTCGCAGTAAACGGCATATATTTTGAGCTAGTCGAATGTCTTCATTTATAATTCGTTTAATCGAAAACGAGGGAAACGGCGAAAACGAGGGTCCGACGTCTCGCATTCGTTCTCGCTCGCTTCGTGTGCGCAGTTGCCTTAGGACGGTTGAGAAAGCGACAGCGGTCGTTTAAGGTAATGGATTATGTCGCGCGAAAACACCGTCCTCGTTTCAACCGGTTTAAAGACGACGACGACGACAACGACGACGAGGACGGAATATTCGTCCAGTCCGCCATTCGTCTTGACTCGCGTTTTCGTACGCAGCGCGAAACTTATCGTGCTCGTTTTCACCGTCCACCCTCTTTCTATTCTCGCCGACCGACCGACCGACCGACCGACCGACCAACCGACCGACACCCTCGTCCATCTCCTTTCCTCCACCTCCCCAGACTAAGACAAATGGCGCGTATTTATTTCGCGGCACGCCGTGGCTAGTGGATTTCTCCTTTCTCCATTATGCATCGCCCTCGTTAAGCATTTCTCCACTTTTTCCTTTCCTTTCATCCCTCTTTTTGTCTTGAAGCCCGTACAAGCAACGTTTTTCCTTCTCCCCGACAAGCCCTTTACCGGATTTTCCCTGCTCGGAGGCACCGCGCTCTCTCACTGATCTGTATGCGAATGCACAGGCACGTCGCGGGAACGCCTAAGTTCGGAACAATCGACTCATGGCGATGAAGGAATTCGATTGCATCTATTGAATGAGGGTTCGGTCAGGTACGAGGCGGAGAAAGGGGTGATATACGTCCCCGAGAACGCCCCTGGACATTTCTCTGACCTCTCTAGGTATCTTGGATTCGGACGGCAATTTCCGGGACTAATTCTTAAATGCATGATTTCACCGATTCATATGGTATGCGTGCCCAAATATTTCGTTTTTATAGAAATTAACGTTTAATTGGTACAAAAAATAAGAGAAGCATTTGAAATTACTTTCTCGCCCGTTGAAATACGGTGTGAATTCATTCTCGGAATTTCGCAATATTGAATATGTAAAATTTCATTGGAACGAAATACAGATAAAATTATTGAAAGTTTATTGAAAATTCACAATGCAATGTGATTTAAAAATTAACCCATGCAAATTAACAATTTATTGTATGGTATATTTAATTATCTCTTTTTTTCTCTGTCTATTTATCTATCTATCTATCTCGAAACTTTTTTGAAAGGAAAATTCCCTTTGAAAATTATTCATCACCAGTCTTTTCCACCGATCAAGATTTACTTACTCTTATAATTGTATTTATGCAAAATATCGAGTTTGACTATCGATAAATATCGATTATATTATTGCAGCTATGAAGAGATGCTTTGGAATATTTATCTTCCCTCGCTATCTTTATTTCACTACAAACTGCTTGGTTCTTTTACGTTTACCGTCGTGTTCCTTTCTTGAATAATAAATCCACGGCGCGTTGCAAATGAACGTCGTACTTAATTAAAAATATATCGCTATTTAGTAGTGTAATAAGGCGGCTTCCGGAAAATGCGTCTACATATTTAAAGGGACTTACTTTAGGACAGCCGGTAAAAACTAAGTATGGTCGCGAAAAAGTGCAAGAGAGAGAGAGGGGGAGAGAGAGAGAGAGAGAGAGAGAGAGAGAGAGAGAGAGAGAGAGAGAGAGAGAGAGAGGAGACAAAACTTCAGCAATAGAGAGTCTCTCGCTCTCGGTTAATGGTGTACCGTTAATAGCCTTAATTTAGCCCTATTATTTCCTGGAAACTTTCATAAAACTTTCGCCATAGTTATGCGGCGACTCGCGCGCGCGCGCTTAGGCTAATCCATCCCCAACTCGTGTGTATTCCCTTAAGCACACCTGCTACATTTTTGTGCTCGTAATATATCAAGCATTTTGCAGTTCCTCAATCGAAAGCAAGAATTGGAAGAAGAATTTGCTGTAGTAATGTAAGAATGATCCAACATGAAGTACGTTTCGAGAAAAATGAAGATAAAAATTTGATACATGATTCAAAAGGTATAGATAATACACCGAGGTTCTTCGCAATTGTTTAAGAAGTCACACATGGTCAATTTTCTTCTCTTCAAGGATATTCGTTGACAAGCTTAAATCTTAAAAAAATGGGTAGATTTATCCAATATGGTTCGTGCTTTCGGCAAAGGCTACATTCAATAAATGATATACACGGTCCGAACAAAAGCCACAGCTTTCGCTCCTCTACGACAGTATGGAGAAAGCGCGATTATACTTTGCGAAGGAAGGCAATGCGCGCACAGGAAGGAAACGTGAGAGCAAATTTACCTCCCAAGCGTAATTCGGCCGTAGCTTGCACCATCTCGTAGTCGTTTTTGGCGAAGCACTGGTACATCCCTTTGTCGTCCCTCACGATGGAAGATATGCGCAACGTCGAGCCGTCGTTACCCGTAATTTTACTCCTACCCGAAGATCCTTCTCTCACAGGAAGACCGTCCTTCGCCCACGAGATCACCGGATGTGGCTGACCGGTGACAGAGCATTGAAACTCCGCATCCTTCCCCAGATCCACAGTCACCTAGAATTCACAGGAAATACGTGTGTTAATACCGTGATATCGTATAATGCACTCACACAATAATAGCGAAACGTAAATGCGATATCCATTTATTTAATTGAAATACGTACACGACTTTAAAAGAAAAAAAAAAAAATTATCACTATTACGTTAGTTGCATGAAAAATTTGTCGTAAAATTGCGATCTGTGAAATTTAATTTTTAAAATAAAGACGACAGTTGTATATGAGAGCCTCAGTTTACCAGAAGTCTGCGCAATAAGCGAATCCTGAGAGCAGCAGGGTGAAAGAAGTTTTAAACGTCAATTATTCAGTTGGTACAATTGGAAAGTCGACGAGAACATGATCTCTGTGCGGATTCACGAGACTCCGGTTACAACGAGTCGTAATGCGCACACTGGCGAGAAGAGTGCGACTACACAGTCGCCGTATATTGAATTAGGAATTGGACGAACGCGCTCCTACAATTAATTCAAGTGGCTTGCTGGAATTTCCAATTCCGCGTTCGGCAAGTTAATTTAATCATCCGCCCTTTGAGCGTCGAGCCCGCTATTTCAAAACTATATCGTCATAATTGAGGTGCAAATTAATAAAGCCGGTTTAAAAGCCAGTTAAACCATTTTTCAGCTCAAGAACAGCACAACAACGTAGAATTGTTATTGCGTATTCTTCCTCCCTTCCTATTGAAGGGACTCCCTCACAAACTCCCTCACATTTTCGAAATAATTATAATATCTGTAACTCCAGAAAGCGAGTTTCTCACATTACATATCTGACAACATAAATCACAAAGATATATTCATTATTAATATTTAATATCGTGCCGAAGTTACTGTATAATTTAGTTGGTAATTATGACGATCGCACGAAATCGATCTTAACTGTTCCACGTTTAATTGAAAGCTGCAAGGGGTAAGTAGATAAGACCATGCGCATTCAGACAAGGGCGAGTATTAGAGATTCGCAGAATAATATGAGGTGATCCATTAAATCGGTCTCCCGCGGAATTTCCATATCCATCTTGAGCCGCTTAACTTAACGGCGATCGAACGCGGGATCCTTTGATCCGGAGTAGAATCGCGCATTATTAAGGACGCTCGTTTACTTCAAGGAAGTGTGCGCGCGCGCGGGAGAGAGAGAGAGACAGATAAGCTGTGGAGAAGAAGGAGGAGGAGGAAGCGGATAGTGCATTTCGATTATGCAGCGTGCACGCTTGAGCGCGTGCATACGTGTGCATAGTAGGATGCAGCTGCATCGTACTGGATGCATCGCCGTTGCGAATTCCGCAGCCACTTCGGCCAAGAATTCGTGAACGAAGAGCAGCACTTGCAGCCGTTCGATGCGCCCTCGATCTTGATAAGCAGAAAGCATGTTCGTGCCGAGATAAACAGACTGGGAGCCCGGGAGAATCAGCTGCTTAACTTTTTCATTTGCAGTGCAATCGCGTCGCCCGAGAACGCTTGGATTAACGGATTAACGAAGATACATCGACTTTCACGAAATTGAATTTCGATAAAATTAGTTCTATTGATACAATCCAAGCTGTATGTAACATGACGCGTCAGTATGGTACGTTTCAGTGATGACGTTTCTCCGCGTTTTCGAACGCTTATCCTTCACGACACGAGTTTTATCTTCAACCCGGGAGTTCATGATTCAATAAAGTGATAAGAATAAATTATTGGCACAAGTCCTCTGTTACACAAAAAAAAATAGTCTTGCGGTCACAGCGGAAATTATTTAGATAAATTTAGAAGAATTAGAATTAGACGGATAAATGATTAGCAAGCATTGCGACATCATATATTTATCCAATATAGATAACAGAGACAGAATTTATACATGAACTATTTGAAAAATCTAGCAAGGAAGTCTCTCCGTGACGTCCCTCCGGATTAAGATTAATAATTGATAGGATCTAAATTTGCCTGTGCGAATATTGGTAGAATGCTGTGAATTCTACTTATCACAGACAATTTTCCAACAAATACGGGAAACAGCGAGAAATTCAAATGTAACATTTAGAATTCCACCTAGACCAGAGAAACATTTGTTTGAATAAAGCATTTGTATGCACTAAAGAAAATTGATATTACTCTCATTAGCAACATTTCAAGACTACACTATCATTAATACTACACGAGTTTTCTCGAAACATATGTTTTTACGATTTAGAGGTAATTTCGTAATGAAGAAATTAAATTTGAACGCGAGCAATTCCTATCAATTCAACGGGTGATTCCCGCAAGCCGCATGAGCGTAGGCAATCAGGGACGATGGAGAAGTCCCATCTGTGCGTGGAATCGACCGCGCAATCGTTAAATATCGTTAAGAGGATCGCGCCTCGCCGAGCGCTTTGTGTCGCGATTCCACGGTAAACTTGTCTTCGCGAAGCCGTCGACGACTTTTAAATATCCTTTGATACCGGACCTCGCCCCGTGATGATGGAGCGTACGGCAAACGGGGAGGAAAGGACCGTGGTGAGAGAGCAGTAAAAAAAAAGAAAGAGAAAAAAAATAAAATGCGATAGTTCCTCTGAAGGTCCTCGAAGGGAGACTCGTAAAACGCGAGCTAAGACATCGGTTTTCGTCTCTCCCTCTTTCGACGAGTTCCTTTGTGGCCATCCGTCTGCACGCTTCGCGTGTATTTACGACACGCGTAGGGGACACGCGTTGTTTCAGCGTAACAATAATGCACATACACACATATACATACACGCGCGCGCGCGTATTCATGTACACAAGCGCAATGTACATGCAATCTTCTTTGAGGCGCGCGCGTCGCGCGATTGTTACGCGCTTTTTTTCGGTGAAAACGCGACACGAATAAGGATGGGGATGTTAAGGACGAGGACGAGGGGATATTCAATTCGCCCCGTTGCCGACGAGTTTCTTGTGTGTCACAGAGAAAAAAGTGGCGTCGCATTAAACTGTAGGATGAAATTAGAATTCGGAGCTTAATAGCTGTTTCATTAAATACCTCGTCAAAGAAAAGCTCATATTAATTCTCACAAAGCGGGGAGGAAAAATACGTCCGTCCGCGAGGTACGCTTACCGAGGTGCGTTTTTATATTTCACGTTTGATATTTTTAAAGTGACGCACCGCGCTAAAATACTTCGGTAGTCCTTCTGTTTAATATGCCTCGTGGATTAAACGTCGGCCGTTACGTCGAAATTCACCCGATCAAACGCAAACGCCAGTTTCAGCATCGTACTGTTCGGCTAATCGCCTGCGGGCGAAATGTCAAACGGCAGAAATAACTTGACAGCGTTCTGGGATTTGTTGGAAAGCCTACCGATTATTAATTCCGCCGAAGCTCGCCGGCAAAACGCGCCGTCGGAAGCTGCGCTGCGCGTGACAAAAAGCCGCGGTTTCCGCCAATAAAGCATGAAGCGGGGTTTGACGCGCTAATGGAACAAAATTGCGGAGTCGAAAGGCAGTCGATATATACGGAGTGTCCCGGATTCGCCACGCCGCCATTCATTCACGAACCTCCGCGACCAAACCGAGGTTGATTTTCCAACGACGTCACGGCATATGTTAGTAGCCTCTCAAATATTACGAGAATCGCAACCCTAAACCGAAAATATGCGCCTTCATATATTAAATTACAAAGATATGAACGCAGAGCGAAGTCTCATCTCGCGTGATTTTAATTCAAATCTAATTTGAGACAAACGAACTTTGGCACCAAGTGACGACCAATCGAACTTCCGCAAGACATGAGTTATGCTTGAAAATCAATCGAGGAATCTGATATCAGTCCAAGACAGGACACCCTGTATACACGAGGGAATCCGTCAGATATAGGCGTTCCTTCACTGATGACCGCGAAAGTTATACGGAAGGCTTCCGGCGAATGAATGGTATTTCACCGTTTCCACTTCCCTCCGATCTCTGCCAGTCCTTCCTTACCGCATCCCCCGCGGTAGTACCCGACAGCCCTCGTCACCACGAACCATTTACCAATACTCATTCGCTCTTCTTTCACACATACATATATACATACATATATACATATATATGTATATATATGTGTGTATGTATGTATATATATATGTATGCTCGAGCTGTCCGTTCCAGATGGAAGAATACCGACCACTTTCTCGCGTTTTCTGTCGGACAGCGACACTTTACTGACATTTCCCACCCCCCGTTCGCCTCCCTCGACCGCGTTCCGCGACGAGGCGACGATCGAACCGGTATGCAGTCGACTTTTCAAGGTATGTACCGTCGCTGAAACGGACGATTCGTCTCGGCGAATCGAGGTAGGGCTTGCGTGATCCGTCAGCTGGTAATTGACAGTGAAATAGTTTGCGCGCATATAGAGCATTTATTACACCGGCTTCCACTGGCGTTTCGATATCTCGGTCTGTATGTTATCGGTCGCAACCACTTGACCGTCGATAATCCACCCGCGATATCGAACCAGTCAAGGCTTGCAAGCGCATTATTTCATCGGGATGACAGTAATGTTTGGAGGATATAACGCACGCCATGTGTCGAGACAAGATAAAGGTATACATGACATCGATTTTAGTTAAAATCGCGTCATAAAATTGCGTTCGAAGTAAAGGAATGCGAACATAGCGTGTAGTTTAAATTTTATGAAAGGATATATACATTTTCTTTTTGGTTTTTGAATACGAATATTTTTAAACTCTCAATATAAAATATACGTATGTATTTAATGTGTGTACATATATTTCTTTATGTAGAAAGTTTCAATATTCGTAAATCTCAAATCAACAATAATGCCCAAGATTACATAAACAATGAAAATCTTTACCTTAAACAATAAAAAATAATGAAAGATATACGAATAAAAAGATAATTATGTAGAATAAGGACTTTTCCGAATTTTGATATTTTTTTGCTGCAAACTTGATAAATATCTTTGTTGTTATTCCAACAGTGATAATCAAATGGGGGAGCCTGAAAAATATGTAAACTATCTATGTTTTTAATTATTTTTTATAACATATGCTTGTATGTAGAATA